ACATGTACTGACGATACCGATCCGAACGCCAACAGCATTTACTTCATAAAGCACTTTTTCTGATTTCAGCGATAGACGCGTAACGCAAGTCTACGTGGCGGCATGCGTGCAATATGAAGGTTATCATGATGATCACGTCTAAAGAACGCTCTGAGGAATGTGTTTTGGAAGAAATTACCATGAAAGTTTTTTTTTCTCGCTACAGAAAAAGATCGGTTTAGTCCCACTCAATACATTAACGAGAAGGGACTATCTTTTTAAAATATGAGGTGGTGGGTACTTTCGGCTATCTTATTATACTATTTTAAAGTACTACATTATGCTGAAATGTTTCTATTTGCGATCTTTGGACGGCCTCTGGTCAGCGCCGTTTTGTACTCTACATATTTGTCCTTAATCGATCTGGGACGCTCAACGCCTAATTTGACCTCATTCGTCGTGTGCTAAACAATATCAAAATTAGTACATATATTAGAAGTAGTAGTAACGCTTGAAGGATGATGTTTTCTATCAGATCAGATGTCTGATAGTGATTTAATGCCTTATCATGGATTTCTACGGATTATTATATCAGTGCCAATGATTCAACATTATGTTTCCCAACAGATCCATAATTCTCGAGGTTACTCAGTCGCTCATCCCCTGTACCGAAGACGAGCCCCCCCCCCCCTTCCCCCCAAGCGTTCGGTTGGTTATTATGTAATGAAAGCTTAATACGCGTTTTTCAGACATCCAGATGCTGATCGTTAATTCCGAAATGGATTACATATTTCTGTATTGTCGTACACAAATCTGATCTTTTCCACAATGCTGGAAAACTAAGCCGTAAGCTATATTGAAAGAATACCCGTGGTAAACAGAGGATGCCATATTGATAGGAATTATAGCAATCGATTTCAGTTGATTTGAATAGCCACAGAGAAGTACTTAGTGGATTTTATCGTATCTTTGTACTCGATAACAGACGATTAGTTAAGATACAATTAATGTTACCGTACTTCAATTTACGTATGTATGTATGTAATACAAGAATCAACTACTGGCCCGTACAGGTACCAAGTAGTCTGCCCAACCGTAGCAGTTAAGGTCAGCCAACTTGAGTATACAAGTAAGAATACCCAACCGACTACGGATAGATGCTGCTCTTGTCACTCGTCCACGCTAATATAGGGTTTCCATATGCCTTCGATAGTTGATGAACGGTCACAACCGGCTTTTGTTGTTGTGCAAATCCTATGTGCTGATACTTGTGAGATATGCATATATATAATATATATATAATAGCCAAAGAGATATATATAATAGCCAAAACAGTTATTCCCGTAAAATGAGTCTAGATACACGAAATCACGGCAAGTCCCGTTAAGTTTCCACTACGAAAAGCCCCCGCGGTTTAAAATCGCCTACCAAACGTGACTATAACGAAGAGGACAGCGATACCTAGTTAGCACAAATTGCATTTCGTAGTTGCGTTTACAGCTGGACAGCAGACTCAATCCTGCTCATGATCTCCGGATGCAACAAAAAGTATGAAGAAGAACTAGTTTGATATCAACTCGTTATCCATAGCCGAACTCGCCACTGCTCTACCGACCACCTAATACGCTGTCTCTTCAGTGTCAGCTTCAGCAGTACAACGATTCAGGTACCAATACGGCCGCATGTTTCTGTTGCGGAAGCGCGAATAAACCTCTCTCGTTTTGCTTTTTTTCTGTTAGCAACGGCTTAGTCTGGCTGCATTTGGTGTTTGCTAGCTTGAACCGGCATAAAATTGGCCAATGTACTATAAATTTATCTATCCGGCCGGTAATGTGCAATTCGGCCCTGTTCGTGTTCTATGATTGTCTACGGGATGCAATGAAGCCGATACTTCGTCCTCCAAACGTCATCAGTCTACTGCTACAATATTATGGCAGAGGCAGAGACGCGAGCCTTCTCACTGTCAGCCTGTCTTTCTTGTCCGTATCAGGGCATCAGCTGTGTACGGCCCTTTGGACTAGCCAGAGTACAAGAAGAAAGCAGCAAAAAATCCCCGCTCCCGGCTTTTTAAGCGCAACTGTCATTCGTTTTACGGATCACCAGTTCAAACGAAAGGGGTGCGCTTGGGTTTCAGTTCAAGATAACGGTATCTAACTGACCATCAGTGACGTCGCGGTGCAGTAGGCCTTATCGATGAGCTTTTGTTCCCTGATTTGCAGTGATTGCTTCGACAAAAAAAACAAGGTGGTTGGCGCGATGTGACCATCAGTTCGATACTCGTCGTTCTAAAGTAGCCGTGAACGTTGTCACACTTAGTAAACGATGTCAATGAACGTCTCATCTGTATGGGGGAATATCTTATACGAAATTACGCGTCGATGCTCATCCGTCAGAGTGGCTTGCCATTAAGGACCATAGTATTTGGCCATGATTAGGCTGTTGATTTGTTCTAGCGCAAATGGTGACGATAACCACTGTGTCCGAACCTTATCGTGTGCATGCCACCCTAGCATTTGATTTCTGTACAGACGGGAGGCTGACTTAAGTAATACTAGTTCACAGAAAGGCGACCCGTCTCAGCTCAATGATTGAACGATATGATGTACGAAATGGCTAAATCGCGGTAGTCATAAGAGTTCCTTTACATCGTCTTAGACCTTCTGCCGGACTTCTGCAATTTGTTTGGAGACTTCTGCTAACGCTGCTCTTGGCTGTGTGTGATAGCCAATAGTAGCAGGGGCAAAAACGTTATAATGATTGAGGTTGTCATAACACTAAAGAATGATCTTTTTCCTAATGTGGAAGCTAGAAATTTAGGCCCGCCCTGGCACTGGGCCGGCCGATCAACTACCCAGCGGACCTGCCAGAAACGAAGGCACAAACGATTCTAAATGAGAGAATTTAGTGGATTCCCTTTGAAGTCGTCCCGTTCTCAACAGCGACCAGCGTCCAATGTCAGCGAGCAGAGCGTGCTGCGTTATTGCGCTCTGCTATATTACAAACTATTATACGGAGTATTTGTTTTGACTTACTTATAGAACAGACTTAGTCTCTGCTCACCTTATCGTAGAAACGCAATTTCTCGTAAGAAAACCTTTTCGCCTCCGTATCTGTTTGCATTCAGAAGTACTTAGCAAACAGCGCGTAATCACATAGCGTTTTTACCTATGGCGGCGGTGTTCGAAGATAAGTGACCATGTCACATCAATGGCAGGTCTGTTTTTCAACGAGTTTCTGTGCAAATGGTATTGTTCAAATGTATACGAGATACAGGCGGTCTAACAAACAGAAGCACAAGGGAGAAATATGACGATAGACAGGGTAGTGACACCGTTCAAAAACTATGACAGGTGTGGCTTTTCGTATAGTGAATGCTGTTACATAGTGCCGATACTAATTTGTACATTGTAATAATATTGAAACAATCGTTTCGACTTTAGGGGGAAAAACGACACGTACAGACCGTTATCGATTTTCCCCTATTCGCGTTACTACCCCAGTCACTGAGTAGTTTGTTCTTGTAATAGTAACAATTAATAACAAGCCATAAGCACAACTGTGAGCGTAACGGTCAAGATGTATGTTGCAGTGGCTCCGGTTTCCGTAATACGCTCTAGCATGATTGTACGTACGCGAAGATTTCTATCGAGAGGCCGATCTGGCATTCGAGCATCGAGGAGTTCGGCGAAAACGATACGTAACGAAGTGATCGATTTGAGCGGTCGCAACTGGAATTCGGATTTTCAGAGCGATGCTTCATGGTCTTCGATGAGCAATAACACATGCGTTTAGATAGAATAGGTTCAGCTTTAACTATTTAGCGAAAGATCGGAAAGTTATCCAAGCAGGTTAGTCTATGGGGTTTACGAATCGAAAATCACCACATACGCGTATGCTTTGAGTTCTATAACGGACAACTCAAGACAAAAGTGGTTATTTTTTGGCGTAGCGATTGACTGGCGTAAAATAAGGATCTGCCTAATGCGATGGACACGCAGATGGTTCAAGCGAGGCTTTCGCGCGTGCATCCACTGCTTGTCGTCCACAACAGCCAGGATAAAGAACAAGTTTTGCAGAAGTTAGAAAACCGCAACGAGTGAACGGGAGGCGGGCAAATCGGTTCCCCGAGAACAAGAGTCAATTTCGATCCAATTTTATCTTGATACGAGCGACGATTTGATCCAGACGAAAAGTGAGGCCAGCCATTTGACAGTAGTGCCCTGTTTCATTCCATCCTCTCCGGTCCTTTCGTGTCCATACGCCTCGGTCACATTATCTGCAAAACTAACTTAGCCTAGTTCATAGCGTTTAATAAAATCACGAAATGAGTAAAAAACAGTTAGGCAGTGACTTAAATGAGCATGACATCGGTGCATGATGAGCTTTGTTTGGTTTTTACGGGAAGAATCCTGTGATAAGACCTGATAAGATCATGTGATCACATGATAAGGCCTGATACAGTTCCAAATTCACAGAGCGCGTTTCAGTTCTACAAACAGTGTTTGCGCTTTCTTTGAATGTCCCGGATATTTTTCGTCTAAGTTATTAGCTAATTTCTTTCGAAGATAAGATAGATTTCGTTTGGAATATTTAGGCAAATTTAAAAATACTTACATATTAAAGTTTCTCTTTTGTTTTGCTTAATTTTAATAAAGATCAAGCTGCAACGTCAAAATTCATCCAGGAAAACCTCCAGGACTGCATATTATTTTGCTAGTCCTAACCGGTCATGTATTAGCTGGTTTTTTTTTCACTAGTAATAACAACTTCCTGCGATGTGGATATATACGGTATATGTGTGTGCACCCTATAAAGGCTGCTCTGTGACAGGTAACACATTGGTTGTGCTATGTATTTATGTGATCGCTAGTTAACTCTACCGAGACGTTTGCTCTTCAATATGCCCGACAGCTTTTTCGCAGGGTAGCTGAACAGCTGCGACCAACTAGACAAATCGTTCCGATACAGATTCCATATATTCATTTATTTATTTATTTATTGGAAGTAGATCCTCCAATAGATTGGAGGATCCACTGCTATATTTGTTAGATTTTCACACTAGTGTACATCATACGGTATCCTAGAATCTTTCATCGTAACCATTACTAGAAAGTGTTTTCAACTGCAAGATCGTCCTTTCGATTCGGACTGCTACCGATCACTATTTAGAAATTCTCTATGGCCAAAGATAAACCTGTGATGCCATATAGCTCATCTAATCCATATAACCCGATACAATCATTCTAACTTACTATTCTGCATTTTACTTTGACTACAGCCAATCTGTGCATAGGGTCTTCGTTCTGATCTGACCACTGTTTCTTCGTTAGCGTTTACCATTCGTCCGCCCGGTTTTTGCAACTAGTCCTATCATGGCCAGATTATGTCTGCAAAATGTTCACATCATGGATAGTTTTTAATTATTTTAATCCACTGTTATCTGAACCGCGTGCGTAATAAGCATGTAGACGAGGGCCTTGGAGTTACGGTTTCTGGATGGCCTGAAATTAGTCATGTAAAAATATAAGCTATTTAAATTTACAATTAATAACTTGTCTTTGGAATTTTTTGAGGTTTTACTTATTGTGTGGTATCATGTTGACAAAAATCTTCACGAGCATGGAACTTTAGTAGGGTTTTTTAAAGCGTACACTTACCGTCTCTCACTCTAATCCTTTAGGCTTGGCTAGTTAAGTTAAATAGCTACGCATATTTAAGTTCCCGATATGAATACAACGTATACACGTAATCATTATCTAATAAGTTATGTTATGTAATGAAGCGGCGCGAAAGAAGTTATGCTCGACTAGTAGCCTTCGTTTGTTAATGAATCAACCTCAAAACGATTTCCATTTCGTGGTCGAACAGATATAATCTAGTGTTGATGTCAACTAGGTGTATCTCTCACGTATAATCTTTAGCTACCATCTGCTTCGTGTTCACCGGCTGCCTTCACTACAGTTTGCCTCACTTACGTATACATCTATTGCATCATTTAGATCCACGTATATATATGTGCTATATGACTATTGCGACACCGTTGTCGCAAACTTGTGGCCGATCGATCGTTGCTTCCGTATTATTGAAGCTGAGGACTACGAAGACGTGCCAGCCAGCGTAACCTCCGCAGCCGGACATGTTCTGCGACAACGAGTTGTCGGCCTTAGACCGTAGACATCATTATGCAACGACTGGATAACAGTGCAGCCCACGGCTATCGATCATATTTGTGCCTAAATTTTGAGGACATTAATGGATAATGACAACAGCAACTGTCAATCCGCGTCTGTAGATACATGGCCGTAAGCAAAGCACCCGGCGGCAGATCACTGTTGTTTACCGCCGACAGAGAGACGCGGAACTCGTACACGCCCGTGGTCGCTTGTTTGTTATTACGCAATTTTTAGTAAGCGTTTGCTACAGCAACAAAAGCAACGCTGCAGCTGTTGCTTTTGTTGTTGTTGTTGTTGTTGTTGCTGCTGCTGCTATACTGTACGCCAGATTTGTTGTCGTCGTCGTCGTCTTGAATGATGGCCAACACGCTTCTTTCGACGCACAATCAAACTTTTATGGTGCTGCTTTATATATTTACTCAATAACCTCGTGCGTCGACAAAAAACATAATGAAATGGCGTGTTGAGGTCAGATATACATCATAACGTCTACTATATTTCAAAGGCTAAACTTCTTAAATATCGGTTTCCGTCTTTTATATACGCCAGCTTATATCTGATTCATTTTTCTGTACGCTTAACGTACGTGTCGCCGCAGAAGGATAGAGAGCAGTCGAAAAGCGACGACGACGACGACAATGATGATTAAATAACTACATTATTATTCGCTATAGCCTGACCTGTATACTGCTAATAAAAAAAAATAACTTGCCGGTTATGTGTTTACTTTCAGCTACTGTGTATATGTAAAATTCCTCTTCTAACTACAGCTTTCAAATCTCGGCATCGAACTCTCGTCGAAAATGTATTATTTTAGAAATGTTTGTTTTTTAAGGATGCGTTGCTGTTTGTCACAGGGTATTGTAGCATCTAAACACTTATGCTAGATGTCATACAAAAAAAAATGATTCCAAGGACTTCTTCGCCTGATAGGCAAAGGCGGAGATGTTAAAGCTTCTTTTGTAGCAAACCAGAGACACGATAATGATGATGCTTGCGATACTATTAATGATGACGAGGTGTTCTTAGTGAGGTTTCGCACCGTGCTAGGCAAGTAGGCCCTTTTTCTTTTTTTGCTAAACCTCGACAATGGTCTACATGATTGATTGGTTGTCTGATGAGTTGTTTTTCGGCCGAAATCAATCCAAAGAAGTATGAAGGATGTTTCTAAACAACTTTGCTGCCATTTCGAGACCTGTTGAAACGCCCATAGGACCTAAAGCAGCCCTTTGATTTCGAGCTGAATTCGAAAACAACAAGGTTCACAGATACCCCTTTAAAGCGACTCATATACAAGCGAGACTGCAATATCTTTCTGCCGGGTGACGGAAATAGGCAATACATGAATCGGCAAGATAATGACGTCGCCATGAGATAATGTATCCCAACGACGAGCACCAAATGGATCTTGAAAACCACCCCGCCGCCGCCTTGCCAACCCGCTGGTAGCCAACTGATACAGTGAAGAAATAGTTATCAGTTGATAGAATAGATGAAAGATCGGTCAATCATTAGAGATCAAACAACAAGTCGCCAATTGACAAGAAACACTTTCTAGTTGATGTTGAATAGACAGCATTGTTTATTAGTGTCAACTTGAATATAGTAAATTTCTTAAAACAGTAACGAGTGTTCTATCGGTTTCAATACGAGCCGAGACATTTAATGTTAGAACGAGCTTTTACATGCGCACGAAAGCAGACGACGCTACAGAAACAGAAAAGCGTAGCGGACGCGCGAAATTCGTATCGGCAATGTTTTCGTGATAAGTTAACGTTAAATAGCGTAATTATCCGCTGGCAATAAGCGGATTGAGATTTTGGCTCATTGTAATTTCGTTCACCACATTAAGTTCTTACTATAGTTGGCACTTCGCACGGGTAAAGTATGGGGACGGAATGATAACTTGGGCGCGGATCAGAAAACTTATCGACGGGGTGAAAATTATTTTTATATTATCTGCTGTCCGGCTTCAATGCGCTGATTATTAATCGATGAAAACAAATTATGATTAAGTACCTACCACTATAGTTTTTCCCTGTTTATGCTGCTCCTGATAACAGTCCGCTGAAATGCTATATAGAGATTGCGTATAAACTGTGCCTGAGCCGCGCGTCAAGCCGTACATTTGATCGAACTATGCGTCGTACATGGGAGGCACGAAGTGCAACTGTCTATCAGGAATCCTCGAGAGGACCCGAGACCCCGTGTGCAACGGATATCTATAAGGCTATAAGGGTTTAATAACCTCTCCGAACATAGTGCGTTTTACGTTTAACGCTTTCTAAATTATGGCATTGTTTGGTGTTGCTAGGAGATCAGTCGAACTAGGCCGAGCCAAGGCTCGACTTTCCTGCGGCCAGCCAAATCGCTTAATGAGCATAGGCTTCAAGTTCTAGGCTGCAAAAGCCACCACAAATAACATACAAAACGTCAAATTCGATATGTCGATGAACTAAAACATGATAGAATCATAACTATTAGCTGTCGTAGAGCGAAACTGAAACATCGATCGATAACAATAACGATATCGACAGTCCTAACAAATTTAATTGCCACCGTCCCATTGCTGTCGACGAGATAGTGCTCGCCTTCATTACCGTCATATAATAGTAGCATATGTTTTAGTAATTGACGCCCTATTCGGTGACATCAGGGGATTATTCGTCAAGACATTTGACGTTGTTCAGTCCATTTTTTCACAGCAGAGCAAAAGGGGTTGCAACAATGGAGACCATGTTCAATGAGTCCTCGCATTATCATTGTGATTACAATTAACACTGACCGGAATGGGAAGATCGAACCCGACGCGTTCATCTCGGCGCCACGTCGTCGCCATTTGATCTTATACTTCAGTCAGCTCTACCAATCTGTGTATCTCGTTCTTCCTACAATATGTCATTGCTACAAAATTCCTTTCGCTTCAAACTAATTTGATCTCTCTCTCTCTATCCGTTGTGTATGTACTCTATGTATATAACATATACTGATAGAGAAAAAATTAAGTTAGTCCGATCATTTTTATTTCGGCGGCAATTAACACATGCGATTGGGAGTAGACAAAACACAGTTGACAGTATTAGGACAAGTAAGTTACTGACTAAGCCGAGCGAAGTTCGACGAACCCAGCTCGTTGGTTCAACTTGCGCATCGGATCGTTTTAACGTGTGTTAAACTCATCAAAGTAACAGCATAGCAAACACTTCCAACGGGAAAGACGTACGCTCTCTGCATCTGTATAAACGAAGCTCCAGATAAAGGTGAATAAAAATTTTGACAGATTGTTTGCATTTTTAATGTGCGGCGACCCAACTTCAGCCCAACTGCCCATCTGGGTCTTAGCATACATATACGGACTGCTGTTTTCTTTTTTTTTTTTTTTTTTTTCTTCTGAATAATCAGTTCTCTGTACTCAGAATCTTGTTTTGCATACGCGTGGCTGAGAAGCGAAGTAACACACTGTTCACCTACAAAAGTTATTACATTCTCCGCTAGCCGGTCTGACACATAATCCAGTTAAACTGTTGTACGGTTAACGAGCCTCCGGTGATAATTACAGATTCTAACTTAGACTTAAAAGCCTTACGTTAATTTTTTTCGGCTGGATAAGTGTCTTGTAGTAGCTCACGAGCTCTGTTTGTCGTCTTCCCTTCCTTTTTCACGGAATAACAGGCGGTAGTGCCGCCAACTAGAAACATAGGTCTCTTGTTCCAATCTGCAACTCGATACAATTTTATACCGGAAATTTGCTAATGAAATAAACTGATGTACCTCTTGTACTGGTTTCAATAACTTCAGGCCCCCACCCCAAACGTAATAACACTAGAACTACTTGTAACTATTCTATTTCCGATACGCCTACGAAACTATCTGAACAAACGATATTCCTCGTTGCCGATTAAAATCCCCCTACCCAGAACCTAGCCACAATTTTGATATAAACGAAGTACTATTAGACTTCTAGAAGGGATTTGCCATTCAATCCCCGAACTTTTCCTTAATATTTTCTATCCAAGACACTGTCCAAAGTCTGTCTTCCGACAAAAACGTAACGTTTTTAACTCCCGTCTAATATCCAAGCGATATTTTTAACAAGGCGTTAGTTTTGCAAGCTTCAAAATTTCTACAGGACAATTAATTTTTCGATTTTGAAAATTCGGTATTGATTGGAGCTTGGCCATATTCGTTAACTTCTGCAAACCATTTCAATGCTTCACTTTAACCAAAAGCGTGATTCCAATACATTTGACCACTATCTGCTGATACAAAAAAAATTCGATATCTAGCTATTTACAATGGCTCAGTGATTTTGTTCGATTCTTACTTAACTGACCGATTTTTTCAAAAACTATTTTGATCAATTTTTTCCTCCTGCTGCTTCTGGGACAGCTGTAGTTCTTCTATTAGTCCGTACCATTTTTGTGCTTCATATAAACAGTCATATTCCGCCTGGCGACAACGATTGACCATGAATATGGTAACAATTTGAGAATGTATCGTTCTATTGACAAACCCACTTCGCATGAAACCCTTGAGAAATAGTTGACGCAGTAACTTAATGATGCAGTGGGACTCATATGCAGCTACGAACAGTGAACCCTTTGGTCTTGAAAAGCAGTAATCTAAATTGCGATCATAAAATTGCAAATTGCTTTACCGACTACACCTGTAGCTGTAAAACTTGGATGTATAAGTTCCAGCTCAGTCAAACTTCAAACGTAGCATGGCTTCCCTAGACCAATCACGATTACAGTGCCCAACGTAGTTTTTATTTGTCGAACTATCAATGAACCAGA